ATTGTTTCATCTATCATTCCACTAATTAGATCACTGGAAGAAGTAGAAACATAAAATATCATCTCTAAATGCGTGTTCTACAAATTCATTCTTGCTACTCTTCAAGCAAATGCTTTCAAAATTGCATAACCCACGAAAATAAGTGATTATGGAAATCAACAAAATAGGAACTAGAAAATAGATTTATTGTAAAAACCCAAATAAAAACTCACCAATTTGAATAATGGGGAGGTTTATTGTGACCTAAGACTAGCACAGACACCTTAAGTTTCTTCACTAGGCTCATAAAGCTGGGTACCTTGGACTTTGGATCATTAATGCTTCTACTTCAATATTAGAATAAAAAGAAACGAAAAAAAAGAAATTTAATTAGATGTGAAAAAAATTGCAGAAAGATGACAAGGAAATAGGCTCCTTGAGAATATTCTGTAATAACGTTACGAGACGAGTTTAGGGAGTTATTTGGGTCTGAACCGATTGATAGGCATAGGCTCCTTGAGAAGAACATTTGACAGCCTTTGATGTCTTTAAATGTTTTAAAATCCTTCCATAAGACTGCTACATAACTACTTTGTTGATTGTAATTGTAAAGTTGAAACCACTTGAGAGATCCACCACAAACAGAAAATTTACATCTAGCTGTGCTATGAACTATCTTAACAATGTTTTTCGACAAATATAAAAGTTGCAGAAATCCCTTAAAACAAAAATGATACCGAAAAAATCCATTAACCTTTTCATATGAAATTTAACAATTTTGCATAAAAAATGTGTTATATATACATTGCTAGAACATTTAAAATCATATGGTAATACTGACAAATTACCCTCTCTGTAATTATTTCTTTGTTCAATTCTTTTGGGGTATAAGAAGAACTTGAGCCAACTTCAGGGGTTCCTATCCCACCCTAGCTATCAACATACTTCTGAAGCGTAGCAGCGCCCATTAGCCTGAGAAAGTTATCAACATTTCAAAATCCAAAAAGACGGAATTACTGAATAATAACACATTATTCACATAAATGAGAAACGGAGAGAGTTCAATCATAATGTCCTGACACTTATAATCCCCAGCCGTGAAAAAACGAAGTGCCAGGAAAAGATTAAGCCGACAGCAACGGTGAACAAAATGGTCCAGATGACTTCTTGTAAGAGCTGATATTATTTGTTTGACATTGTGGGGTTAACCTATCCAGAGTACAACATGCTAAGGTCTGAGATAGGTGATGCAGTAAATAAAGTTTCATTAAGAAAAGTAACAAAATTAAATAGTTACTTAATTCTAATCCTATGATGATGATAGTGTATAGAGTTTATACCATGACGGCACACACAAAGCAATGGGAAAAAAAAAAATTAGCACAGCACAACATGCCAAGGTTTGACATAGGTGATGCAGTAAATAAAGTTCCATTAAGAAAAGTACCATAATTAAATAGTCACTTAACTCTAATCCTATGTGAAAAGTTTATA